CAGAGTGAGTTTACTGAGTTTAATCGGAGGATCAAGTTAATCGGAGACCGTGAAATCGGTCGTATGAATTGAGATTGAATTCTAATGTAATCAATCAAGAGAAAGAAAATCCTCAAGTTTAGGGCCATTTCGACCAAACCCCGATTAAGGCTGAGTTTTCATTGAGCGCGTCACGCGTCGCGTCATCACAAGTTAACCAATCAAAACATCCCATTTTATTACATTACTTGTGACGGGATCAAAATGGGATGTTTTGATTGGTTAATGGCTTCTGCCCACAGGACGCGGAAACGCTTGCCGCGCGGCAAGAAGCGACGCAGTAGCCAATAAACTTTTGGTTCTTACGGAAAAGCAACACGTTGATTGGCTATTTTCGCGTTCTGTGTGCAGAAGTCATATCTTGTGATGACGCTCGCGTGACGCGCTCAGTGGAAACTCAGCCTAACGGTTGTTAAAAGGGTTGCCAACATGACAACATAATTAGTGTGACCTTAACCTAACCATTGTGTTTTTGACTTTGACACGATATATAATCGTCCTAACCCAATATTCCATTTCAAAGTTATTCTGTCATTTGTGTACTTTTTAATTCATTTAATAGGATACAACGGCGGGAATCTTTATCGAGATCACGTTTATGATTTATGACTGTGATAAAGGCTATAACCATAAAGCGCATATACGTGTGAGTATAGCTTGTATCCATTTATGCGAAAGGTTAGGTTATGTGAAAGAATTTGCAATTTGGGAGTGTCAAGGAATATCACTTAAATTCTTATTATTACACAATTTTATTGATATTAATGAATGATGCGACACACGCGCGCGCGAACACACATTATTCACGTGGTTAGTGTAGAAAATACTCACTTATCTTGTGATATTTTAACATTAATGCAAATACATGGAGTTTATGTATCATAATCAAAAATATTTTATGAATGTAATTCATTAGAGAAATACCAGTTGAGAAAAATAAAGATATATAAAAATTATAATTAATATGAAAAATACACATTTGAGTCTCTGTCGGATACAAAATATTATACTAAATAACTTATGTCCATTTCTATCAACGCAGGTTAATTTTAATCTTGGTTTAACTTACCTGTCATCTTTTCCTAGTTCTCTAAAAGTTAGAAAAAGATAGAAAGTAAGTTAAACCAAGATTAAAGTTAATCTACATTGGTAGAAATGGGCATTAGAAGCTTTTATAATGATGCTGAAATAACGTATCGTTAATTTCTGTTAGATTAATTGCTTTACAAGCTGCGTCTACTGCTTGTGTCATAGCTGGTGTTCCGCAACTGAAAACACCAATCTTATTTGCCTGGAACAAAAATTGTTTCGACTGCGCGTTGTACCTATATGTATAATTTAAAGAATTGAAAGCATTTGATACAGCTAGTAAGATTCTAGAGGGTTTATGTGACATAGAATTAATATCATTTGTTGACGATGATTATATAACAACAACAACAACAACAACCAACAACGACTACTACTACTACTACGATAAATAATGACAATAATAATAATGAAAAGGAGGATGTAACTTACAGTAGGATGTAACTTCTGTATAGATAGGAAAAATTGAGAAAACTTGGGTCGTCCAAAATGCGTCACAGCCTTTAAGCCCGTAAACAGAGACTTATTTGAAATCTTTTGAAAATGACGTTCACAAATATACTGAAAGTAAATTTAATTAACATTATTTATGATGAAATCTTGTCAAGCTAAACGATAACACAGCTGCGCTTATCAATTTAGATAATTTTCTTACCAAAAGTATCGTACGTAGGTCGAATTTTTGATAGAACTGAGTAACAAAAATATGAGTAGACACTGTTTTATTGACGTCTACTTTTTCGAGCTCTCTCAATATGTCGACCATCCATTCAAATTGTTTTTGCGTTCTCGTTACCCAAAGGAAATATACCTATACATGGAATACGTATAGAAATTTTACGACAGTTGTTCTTTTTACCATCATAGTATCGATGGCGATGTTATTACCTTCTTGCAACCAAAGTTTAACTTGCAATTCGACTTAAAAACGATATCTTTGAGTATCGATGCAAAGGGCGTGACACCTATACCACCACCGACCATGATTGCCACTTGATATTTGTCCCAATCTTGGTGACCTTCTCCATACGGGCCATCTATGTGAATCTATCGAGATAAATGGATAATATGACATGACATGACATGACATAAAAACTTCGTTACGTTAGCAAATCATTTATTATCCAATGTGCGATATGCAATAATAATCATTAGGCTTACCATCGGTAAGTTTTCATTAGACATTGCGCATAGATCTAGTTTCTCCCTAATATTTGTGGTCCATGGTCCGACCGCTCGTACGTGTATACTTAAATTCGTTTCGTGTGGCGCGGAAGATAAAGTAAACGGATGATACTCATTTGTCTGTAACGCTGGGCATGCTATTTTAATCCACTGACCAGATTTATATTGAAAATTTAAAGGTCTGAGAAATGTTATACACGTTACATCTACGACATATACGACATATATGTAAATGAATATGCATGAGGAAGTAGACAAGTTACTTAAGCTTAAGAAGTACCTGATGGCAGAATTTCTGCTTTGAGTATTGGTATTTCTGTCGTTGTTCTAGTTACAGCTACGACTTTATCGAGAATAAATAGAATAGCTGGCCCCAGAAAGAAATAATGAAAGTATGGCTCCTATCAAATGGTAAGATAAAATGGATTTTCAGTTACGCAACCACCGGTAATGCAAATACGTACGTTTCAAGTGTACAAAAATACAACTGAATTTTATTATTTATCATATGTATACTAAAAATATCAATATTACCTGTACTAATCTTCCACTGCCGTGTAAAACCATCAGTATATAGAAAGCTGGGTACAAGGAGTGTACAAAAGAGAACCAGTTATAGAATGATTTGCGTACCATCGGTAACGAGCACACAAATATTAATCCAGTCAAAATGGTTAAAAATACTCCCGTTATACCTGTCATTGTACCCCAACACCAGTAATGGAACTTGGGAAGTTCGTGCGTCCTAGAAATCACATCAATAAACGTCATGCAACGACGATGCGTATGATAAAATAATTGTAAGTACGTGAAATAATTAAAAAAGGCAAAGTAAACTTACGCGTGGAAATAATTGCGAAATAAACACGTCAGATCATCGGCAGTTTGCGTAGATATGTGATAAAAGTTGAAGCCATGTCCAATTGTATGTAACGCTAAAAGTATTAAAAGTAAAAAGAGAAGACTTAATTGGCTGTGTGTGTTTGTGTGTGTGTGTGTGTGTGTGTGTGTGTGTGTCAGGTAAGGATACATGCAACTTTGAATAAGAATATCTCACCGGTAAACACCAGTGCCCAACAAGCGATATACTTGTGCATTTCGATCGCTGAATCGAAGGGAATGTAGAATTGCAGAGTTGTGGTCCTCAGAATAGTGATAGTGTTGTGACACATCATAATTAATAACGTAGAATAAGTAAACATCATAGCTGACGCTGCACCTCTCGTTATAGTCAAGCCGTAGCCTAATATCCGTCTTAAACCAGAATGTTCCCGTTGTACGGAGTAATCTGTAAAAGCGAATCGTTTACCATCGCGCGAAAAAGATTGGATTGACTCGAAGGACGTACAATATACTCGTTCCGCGAAAATTCCAAGCAGGAACAAAGTGTATAAACATGCCCAGAATATCTGCAGTCGTTTGTTAGCAAGGTACTTCATTATAGGATACCAATAATCGTCCGAGTGTCTCTTAATTTCTTCGACAATTTTTTCGTCCTTGTCGATAATTTCGCTATTAATTTTCTCTTCTT